AGTTGGACTGTGATCCAATCTCAGCCAGGTATACTTGCAATCCATACAGCGTGATCACAATTGTGAGGAAAAAAAGCAAGCTGAAAGGTCACCTAACTCTGCCCTACAGCTAAAGCTGCTCGTAGTAGCAGTAGCTAACAAGTCTCCCCTCACAAAAAGTGACCGCCATCTGCAGCATAGCTTTCTACTCCCCTGGTACATGCCATGTTTGTTGACTAACGATTACAATCTTGAGTGAGAACTTGAGTGAGAACTTGAGTTTTGGCTGACACTCTTTTAATAACAACTTTNGAAGGTAGGAATTTGTATCCGATACAGATCACATGGTGATATCAGGTGTAAAAACAACAGTTTGGGGGGGTTGAAACATTTATATATCCTTCTTACGTAAATATTACAATGTATTTCTCAAATTCATGTCCGTTATTTGTCTGTTATTTCACTTTAATAGTCTTTTGTGTGGCTGTAGTGGTTTAGCCAGTCTTTTACCTTTTTGATATTAGCTTCTGTAATAGACACCGCGTTTGTTTTCACTTAGGAATTTAGGAGCTTGTCTGCTAAAGGCTGAGTTAATTGTATCGGCAGTGGTGGAAGTACACTTACTCTAAGTCATGTACTTAAGTACAATTTTGAGGTGCTACATTTTATGTTACTTTATACTTCACCTGTTTGTAACAATGATGAGACTGTTTAATTCCTCAAATTTATACAGGAAACAAACATAAGCCCCATATATTCACTGAACTTGAGTTTTGGCTGACACTCTTTTAATAACAACTTTTTCTTCTTCTGCAGTGGTTTAATGGCAACTGGAGAATTTGTGCCACCAAACATGCATCCCGATACCTTTCAGATCTCAGCCTCAAAGGCCATGTCCTTTTTGTAGCCCTAATGAGAGAAAAAACAAGTGGTTTCAGAAGAACTGATTGAGTTACAGGGCAATTAGTGTTTATCTTCTCTGATGCCTGCATAATAGATTTTGAGAGTCACACAGATGTGATCCTCTCCCTCTCTCTGTGCTTCTCTGTATCTCACCAGGATCTACTACAGAAGAACACCCCTGGAGTGTCCTGCTCAAGGACACTCCAGCAGGTGGATCTAACCAGAGCCTGACAAAAAAAAAAAGGACGAAAAAGAATTAGGCTCATGTTCAAACTGGCATATGAACAGAGGAGACCTTGGATCCAGGTTTTTGTGGAGAGTGAGGACACAGCAGGTGTCTGAGAGCAACAGCCCCCTGAGGAGTTTCAGATGGAGCTGTCCATGTACAGCGTGCCATGGATACATGTGCTGTATCGAGGAGCGACGAGTGGAGGTTTGAAGGCCGGCTATGCCGTGATGCACACATCCCTGAGAGCTCACCGTTAATGTTCTGCAGTACGGAACAATGAGCATGACTTCTCTCTGTGTCCCCTCTGCTTCACTGTCCAACTGTAAACCTGCTGCTGCTCCCAGACCTGGAGCATTGTCTGATCCTCCCCCAGTAACCCTGAGAGAGTCGATGCAGAGAGCCTGTCACAGCCAAGCCTCTCGGATCATTTATTATTGATTCTGCAGACATGAGGTGGGTGGAGCAAGGAGGACAGAAAGAGACAGAGAAAGTGAAGGAAAGTCACTTGTGAGACCTGTTTAGAAAAAATAAGTAGATGTAAGATGTGACGTAGAAGAGAACAGTTAGAAGAAGAAAAAACAAAGTCAAAGATGGCAGGGAAAAGAATCAAGAGACTGAGATAAACACTTAGATAAGTTATTGAGATAAATTAGTGAAACAGAAGGGTCACGGCACTTGAACAGACAGTTGGTGAAACAGAGATGGAGTTGTGGTTGGGTGAGTGAGGTTGTGTGGGGCAGATAGCCTCAAAGCTTCGCTTTGTAGCGACACGTTCCCTGCCTCCTGCAGACTGTTGTGCCAGAGGCAGAAACATTTCCATGTCGTCCTTCATCAACCGTGTTCCCAGTCCTGGGTCACCCGGCCTGAAGTAAGGTGCAGAAGCTCCCTGGGGATGCAATTGGCTGCTGTCTGTCAAATCACACTATGCCAGGGAGCATAAGATGGAGAGTGGCTTTGTAAAGTCAACATTTGGCTTTGGGTGGCAGATCTGATAGATTTACAGACAGCAAACAATCTGCAGATGATTTTTTTTATACACTATACTGTCATAGTCCAACATTAAATTCTTCTCTTACATTTGTAGTATGAAACCATTTGTTCCCTTATATGTCCCCTAAAAGCATGATATCATGAATGAACATGCTAGATTTTCTACTAAACTCTAGCTGATTGCTCGTAATTAGGCCCTCAAGATGTTTGCCTCCAAGCAGAAACAAATTTCCCATCTCTCATCTTTCAATGGAGTGTTTTATTATCCAGAAACATTTCCCATAGGCCTAAATAAAGTAGGAGTCTAAATTAGTTTCTTACTCAGGTCTTCATTTTCTCCTCCTCTTCAGACTAGCATGTTACGATAGAATGTGCTTGTGTAATTGAGGGTAACATCAGCACAGTTCATTATGTTCAGTTTTAAATTCCTATAAAAAAAAAAAAATTCCCACACAAGAAACCCTGTGTGATTCATGACCCTTCTCTGGCAGACGCCATACTGTTTGTGTTTGAAATGAGCTGAAAACAGTTATATCGTGCAGTACATCTATGTAGCACCTCATAAAGCCTCATACATGAAATGCATCATTGCAGTGGTTGAATATTAACTCACTGGGATCCATATTACAGTGTGCAGCAGAACCAGCAGACCCAGAAGCTGTTCGGCAGTCTGAGAGAAGTGGTGGCAGAATAGAGCCCAGGGCGAAGACATCAATCACACCGCCGCCCTTGATCCACCGAGACCCAACAGTGTCAGTGGTACGACCATGGCCACCATCAATCACTCCCTTCAGTGCAATACACTTACACTTACAGTCATGAAAATACAGTAAACGCATGCAGACACTATTGCACTCCGTTCTAATCCAGCAGAATGAGTCTCGTCAAAATGTCAAGTGATCAAGTCATTACCTCCTTCCAGCCCAACCTGCCTTGAGACATTGTTCTGCCAGTGAGAAGGTGGTGAGTGAGCATTTCTGTATGATAACCTATTTGTAGAAGCTTTGAAAAAACTACCACTGCCAGATGTGATGCTGTTGGAAGACCACTGGCTTTTAATTTGAAGGGGCCAGCAGTAGCTCTTCAGTGTAAGATGCTTCAAATTTAAGAGCAGCACCCTCTGTGGCAGATTTCAAATGCCTGGAAAGCGGAGCGTGCTCCTTCTTTTCAAATGCTCCCTTCATTATACTTAACCTGCTAGCATTGTCAGGTAGTGCTGTTATTCATCAACAGCAGGGTTAACAAGTCTGTACCTCTTCTTTTGTGCCGCTAACCAACACAAGCATTAGGTGACACTGTGTATACTAGCAATCAGACATTTAACATAATTTGATATCACAATGAATTCACTTACCAGATGGGAAATTGCTTGAGCAGACTACTCTTTCCTGATGCTGACTGCTACCATTCATGATTTGGAGTGGTAAAGCAGAAGTCAGACAGAACAGTTTGAGCTGGAATGAAATGGTCTCCTGCCAAGGTCACCTCTGCAGCACCCCTATAACAGCTCTCTAGAAGACACGCTACACCTCTGTGCCGCTTGAAAACATGTTTTTTTGTCAAATGTGGAACAAATGAAAGTGAAAGGGAGCGCTATGCAGATAAAACTGGATACTGAGTATATGGGTTTTCAAGCACCTTTTTTTATGTTAATCTTCAGCGCCTCTTAGTGGTTGTAGTTAAGGATTGCGAGGTGCTGCACACTGCATACCTTAATCTGGAACCACAAATGCTTCTCAATATTAAAACTATTTGCACAGTTTTGCATCTGTGACAACAAAAGTTAAAACTATCATTTGCAGACTGTGATATTAATATTCTGTGCACTACCAGTGATTCTGTGGGAAATATACAGTGATGAGTGGAGTGACTGCTCCCCAGAGGAATCCTGTTGCCCAAGGCTTCTGAAGCTTTATTTGACTGGGAAACATCCCTGATAACCACAATATTTGTTGTGTGATTAGCAGCTGATCAACAACATTGTCTCCCCACTCAAGTCTAATTTGTCATTGGCAGGATAGTAGATGAACTGAAGGATTGATACCATAATGATTTAATCTGACATTCCCTTATGTTGTGCATTTCCCCCCAAATCTCCCAAACACTTGATGATTTTTTATTTTTTTGCACGTGTCCATCATATATAAAACATCAGTACACACTCTGCAGTTAAAGCTTGGCAGTTGCTAAGATCTTAGTTTGTATCCTATAAATGATTCAGTGGCGCCATCATAATTTCATTTCACAGCTTTAACAAGCGGGCACCAAGCACTGGAGAGAGGATTAAACTTGGGGTATAAGGTGGTGAATGTTTTGATTATGTTTAATATATTTAATTAGAGATTGGATCATGACTCAGTAGGAATCCCTGCAGTTCAGTAAAGAAACAGCAGATGACATTAACAATTTAAGAGGTGAGTTTGTGGGCCAAGCAAAGTGGAGCACAGCCTTCAGGTTGTTGCATAATTCCTGATGTGTTTGTTGTTTTTGTTCGTCTATCAGAGGAAAGCAACAGTCTAATCTCTAATATTACCATATGTAGTCATGGACCATGCAGTTAGCATAGCGCTAGATGAGTGTGATTCGTAATTAGGTGTTAAATCATGTAAGAAACTGGATCCATGATGAGAGAGAGCTGAGGAGGTTGTGAGGCCAATCAGTTTCTTCAAGGCTCCTGTGCAACATTGTTGAAACTTTTCTTCTCTCGCACACTAATAAAAACACTGCAAATGCTCGATTCCTGAGGAAGTCACAGCCATTTCCTGATCAGTCAAGCAACACAAGGAGTATGTATGATAAGGCGACGAACCCCCGATCGCCACCCCCACAGCCACACTTCCACACTCTCCACCTCTCCCTTCCTACAGCCCTCCCCTCTTCTTCTGAGTGCCCCCCTGTCTCGTCGGCCCGCTGCAGCTGTATTTTAATCATACAGCGGTGAACCACCATCACTCAGGATGGACTCCAGACCTCCCAACCTGCTGTTGCTGCTGCTTCTCACCAGCCTCCTGCACTTCGGTAAGAACCCACTGTTGTGCTGCTTCAAAGATAAAGGCTGTCCCTTCAGTTAAACCTAATCTCTTGAGTCTCACTTCTATTTTTTTTTCTTCTTTTACTCCAGACACAGCACAGTGTGCCACAGGAGAGTCATGTAAGTATAACTATATTATACTGTACTGTATATCCGACTCTTGTTTAATAACTGGTTCAGGGCTTTCTCCAGTGTTGAGACAGTTTGAGGTTATCCAGTCCTTGGTGTACTAGACAAGAAAGCTATTTATACCTCACACGGTTATTTTTTGCTGGAAATGGGCATTGTATTATGCACTCCTGGCCTCCTTGATATTCGCAAGTCTTTAATGAGATTCATCGAAACTATTTTTAGTTGTCACTGGTGAGGTTAGGTATTTCTTTCACGTCAGCATGAATTTGGATGAACCTCTCAATTGTTTTAATAGCTTGCAAACATCACGAATTTGAACTAAAATGCAAATGACTTCAATGACACCAAGATTTATCTGGAGTTCTAGATGGTTACAGGGGTAGTCAGGAATAAATTAACATTTTGGGTAATGCGCTTTTTGCCAATTGTCAGATGAGAAAATTGACACCGCTTTCATGTCTGTCCACTCAATATAAGGCAATAGCCAACAACTGGTTAGCTAATCTTAGCATAAAAACTGAAAAGAGGGGAAAACTGCTGGCTTGTATCAAGGTCCAAAGGTAAGAAAAGCACCTACCAGCACCTCTGAAGCTCACTAATTAACCTGAAGTCTTGTTGTGACCTTGAGGTTGCAAATAACCAGCAGAGACATCAGGAATTTCCTGCTCCCAGCCAAGAAATAGCCCTTACACATACCCACCCAATAAATGGCTAATTATCATTTTTACTCTTCAGATTTCTACAGATTAAATAAAAGAGATCTGACATGTTAATTCATGAACTTTACAGGTGCTAGTAGGGGCATTTTGTGAGGCTAGTTGTTTCCCCCTGTCTCCAGTCTTTGTGCTAAACTAACCGGCCTCATATTTTGCATGACGACAAGAGAATGTTTCAATTTAATGTGCTTATCTAACTATCAGCAAGACAGTGAATAAGTGTTTTTCAACTATCTCTCGAAAATTGCAACACCTACATGTGTTCTTTGTCAAAATAATCAAGGTCAAGAATGCACTTTCTCACTGTATATATATTCACTATTTCTACAGCGGCTGAATGAGCCCAGTATTCACTGCCTCAGCCACCTACATCACCGAGCCTGGTGCACAAACCCGCAGCAGTACTTTGAGGATGTGGACTATGTGATTGTTTTGTAGCTGTTGAGGCAGGTCACACAATGTTGTTGCTGAGAGAGAGCAGAGGCAGGGATAAATCAACAGAGCTCTCTCAGGGGAAGGAGAGGGTCAGACAATGTTTGTTGAAGCCTTTTCCTTCCTTCAGCTGCTCCTGGTCACTGTGCAGTAGCCTGCAGGCCAGGGAGCGCCTTCACCTTTATTGTGGAGAGAATAATAGACCCTGACTCTTGTATTGTATTATAACTTCACTCCTTTTGTGTTGGTTATGAATAAGTAAGAGATGAAGTCCAAATGAAATAATTTCTTTCTAATTTGCATGCATGTTTGTGTGTCTGTGCAACTTTGGGACCTACAGCATACATTATAGATGCCGTTGGCCTTACAATCCTACCTAACAAGACCGTTGAGAGTGGGACACCGGTTACCATACGCTGCCAGGTCAAAGTGAGTCATACCAACATCCCAAACCTGACACACGCTTTCCAGCTTAAACGGAACGACGTTGTCATCCACTCCTCTACCACCATAGAAGACTCAGTTGTATATGAACTCAACCCAGCCAGGGCAGCCGACTCTGGAAGTTACGACTGTCGGGTCACAGTCAAAGACAAGAGCAGAGCCAGCTCCATCCAGAAACTTGACGTCATAGGTAAAGGTTCAATTTCTCAAACCAGGGTTTATTATTGCTTTTGTCTGGTATGGGTAATATGAAAAAGGTAATAATATACCAAAAAGTCTTCCATATATCAAGTGGAGAGAAAAAGTCAACTTAAACTAGTAAGACAAAATCACTGATATTTTTCTCCAGTTGATGAATAATTCATACCACTGCCTACCATTTCCACAGCATGACAGAATATTTTCCTGCTTTCCACTGTATAAATGACCATTTTCAGACACCTGGAACTTTCTTGAGTTAAATATCAATCACAGAGAACATTTTGGCTCTGTTATTGTTTTGCAAAAGTTATGTTATAATCACTTGGTTTTGTTGTGATTTGTAAAATGCTGCCTTGGCGTTGTGTTCGAGGAAGCTCCCAACATTAAGTATTTAATATATAGCCGCTAAAAAGGACAAAAAATAAGAAGTTATTGAGGCTATAGAAAACATGTTGTAAGTTTCCTCTGCCATTAAGAATAGTATTTTTGACTTAAAGCAAACTTATTTATTTAAAATTATTGTCAGGAATGTAAATATACACCTTTGTAGTTAATCGTTTGTAGTTGATATTCTGCAACACACAAAAACTGGATTATTTATCGTCATGTTTTAGTTTCTTTTTGGCAAGATAGGGTTTTCACACGCCCAACAGTCATACATTCCCCATACCCTGGCAGCACATGCATGTGTACTGTTATATCTGAACAGCCAGTATGTAGAGTAATAGCTTTGCTTTCCACTGTTCTATTGGGTTTTCCTTTCCCCAGGCCTGCAGACCCCCATCCTGTATCTGAATAAGACTACATTCTATGAGGGTGATGACTTCATAGCCACCTGCGGTGCTCCGGAGGAGAAGGGATCCCTCATGTTCCGTTTTTTCCAAAGATTTGGAAACAAAAAACCTGAGAATATGAAGCAGTTAGCACCGACTGGGAACTCATCAGAAACCACGCTGGTCCTGAGACACGCTGGAAACTACTCCCTGTACTGCGACTATGTGATCCATTTGGTTTCTGGGACCAGCCACTCCGACCACAGCAACGAGATTCAAGTGGAAGTTGAAGGTGATTAGAAGAGTTGTTATGTTGCCAAGAAAAGATCAGATTTCCTGCAGGAGGATGTGTGATTAACTATTTCGATATGCGTCTTGCAGGAGTCCAAATTTCCCCATCCATGAATGTGCTGCCCTCTGCTAATGTCACTGAGGGTGACGTAATGGAGGTGGTCTGCAAAGTGAACACTTCACAGGAGAAGGTTGAAGTATTCCTGACGAAGAACAGCAAGGTCCTCAAGAAAGCCCGAGTCAGCCTTAATCATCGATTTATAGCAGAGGACTCTGGGAAGCTTGTGTGTAAGGCGGAGAGGGGCAATGTGCAGAAAGAAACCTATAAGGAAATCACAGTCCAAGGCAAGTACTGTGTACCCTCCTCATTAAGAAACCTCTCATTGACATTTAAAGCGCTTTTCTATGTTCATAATAAATAAATAAAAAACATATTGCTGCACAAAGATTGTGCAATGCTTGATTTCTGTTGTCTGCCCAACAGAGCTGTTTTCAAAGCCACGCTTGACTTTGGAGCCTGTTGACCTATTTGTGGGAGACCACTTCAAACTGACCTGCTCTGTCTCTGTCTACTTTCCTGAGAGGATCAGGAATGACACAATGCAGTTCTCCATCTACAAAGACAACAACAGGCTCACCACTTCGCAGACATTCATTAATATATCACACCCTGATAGAAATGGCAACTACACCTGTCGAGCCCAGACTACTTCTCTTACACACAATATCGTAAAAGAAAGCCAAACGCTTGTTGTTAAAGCCAAAAGTAAGTCATGAACTTGAAATTGCAATCATTACAGCTGGATGTTTTTGGGGAGACCACCACTTTGTTCCAGACACTCATTGATGCCTAATGACCTTTATGCTCTAGAGTCACAACAAGATTGACATTTTGAATTTTTATCACTATTGACAACTATTGGATCGATTGCCTTGAAATTTGGTTCTGACATCCACGTTCCTCTAAGGATGACTTGAAATCACTTTGATAATCCTGACTTTTCATTTATCCATCACCAGGTCAGAATTTCAGTTAGTGAGATATGTTGGTTATGACGAAGTACAAATGACATTCCCATCAGCGTGAGCTGCACGTTATTTTTAGTGCTAATTAGCAAATGTTAGCATAGACTAAACCAAGATGGTGAAATTGGTAAAAATTATACCTGCTGAGCTGACCTTTGTTTCTGTTGCACTGACTAACTGGCTGATTATCTTTATTTCCAGTTCCTGTTTCAAAACCCGTGCTGAGCGTGGTGGGGGGTACGCTGGTGTTGGGAAAGAGCTTCCAGCTACTCTGTCACAGTGACAATGGCACTTTGCCCATCACATACACCCTATTCTATTCTGACAAGTCTAAGGTGTTTATGGTGGTGAGCAACCCTGGAGAACAAGCCATCTTTAACTCCTCAGCCATTTTGGAGAGGTCAGAGTTAAACAAGTTTATTTGCCACGCGAAAAACGGTCAAAACAGGCCTCCTGCAGTAGGATCAGTGCAGCAGCTGCTCCATTCAATCAACATCATAGGTGTGTTTGATGCAGGAACAGTGACAAACATTTAAACTAATGTCAAATGATTGTGGACTGTGAGTCTAACATACATTTTATTCTCTGCAGAGCCTGTGTCAAGACCAGAGTTGACCATTGTCCCCAGCATGGGGGAAGTGTCTGAGGGTCAGGATGCAACTCTCACCTGCTCTGTTAATAAAGGCACTCCTCCCATCATCTTCACCTGGTACCACACTGAGATGAAGGGTGCTCTCGATTTGCAGACCTCCAAGACGCTTGAAGGATCCTACTTCATACAAAATGTCAGGGGAGAGCACAAAGGAGGATACTACTGTGTGAGCACCAACCTAGCCAACGAAACCAAACAGAGTTACACTGTCATGATTAGAGGTGTGTTTTTTCTCTTCAGTTAATAGCAGTGATAACAGCCATGAATGTGTTCTTATATGTCTATATCTGTATATAACATTGTACTATTAGAAAAAGAGGAATAACAAACTGTTTTTCACTTTGTTTTACACCATCAGGGCAAACTGATTGTTTTTTGACTCAGTATTCATTAGAATACAACTAGAATATTAGTAATTGAGCCATAGCAAGTTGGAAGTATAGTCCCTGAGGCAATTTATACATAAAAGGTATTAAATTAAATAATAAATACTTTAAGGAAATTTAAAGTACATGTTGGAATTTGCATTCATTCACATTTCTGGCATTCAAATAACACTCTTTGCTGTGAGGTCAGATCTGGAATAAACCTTTAACAGACTGAAATAACCTTATCTGAATTCTGACATGATTATGAAATGAGATGTTCATACTCGTGAGAGGTAAACTACATAAAGCAGAGAAGTTTTGAGGTTTTGTGATTAAATTTTGAATGCTGAGTTTTATCATTTTGATTCATATGTATTCTACAGTGAAGATGGCCGGCTGGAAAAAAGGTCTTATTGCAGTCCTCTGCATCCTGCTCATACTGGCCTTGTTCCTTGTTATCGCCATTAAAACACGTTTCCTTCAATTTAAAAGGAAAACTGCAAAGAAGCTGTCAGTGTGAGTAACATTGCTCTTATTCTTATCAAAAATCAATATTTTAAAGTTGAAGTAATAAGAGTTAGAAGAAGTATGGTGACGCCCATAGGAGCTTCCTGTTTTAAAAACCTAATTGTGTCCACCTCGTCTTAGGAAGTCAGCCAGCACCAAAGTGGAGCGGCTGAGCCTCACCCAGGCAGAGGTCAATGAGGCTGCAAACGGTAAAGCCTCTTATACTGATACAAATACATGGCTGCAAATTGGGCTTAAGGGCAAACTAGTTTCAAACATGTTCTCTTTGTTTACTGTTCGTTCTGAAGCAGTGATGTACGTTTATACTGATTCAACAGCTAGTGCTGTTTTTGTCCTCTCTGTGTAGTCACACCAGGCATGATCGGAAAAAGTGTTTGGAGTGAACATGTGTCAGGCTCCGGTGAGTAGACTGAGTAGACACATAGTTTTTAATTTTATGCACATTTTAATGAAAGGATAAGACTGGTATTAATGTGTATTTTTCTTACCGTCAAAACCAACAATGTGTCAGTCTGTCAGTCTGTCTCTCTCAATATTTTCTGACGTCCCTACCCTGTCTGTGATCCTCAGCCCATCTCATTTCCTCAACAACTGAGCACTGTAGTTTTTACTCAACTAAAGTAGATAATGTATTAGTTAGGGACTATTTTCAGCTGCGGATTAATACAGATTTGGTGGACTGGTGGATATTTACAGCAGCAGGGTGGTGTATGTGGAACTCAGAATTAACTACATTTAATAACAATAAGAAGAATATAGAATATCACCAGCCTTCATCTTATCTATATCTATATCTTTTACATATTGCTTCATTTGCTTCATTCACTGCTATATTGTTTGCTGTACATTAAATAATATGAAATGCAATGAAGTTTAAATTTATTAATGCTGGTCACTGTTTTGTTGCTACAGAGTCCGATGACCAGAACAGTGTGACTGCTACAGAACCTCAGTACAAAGAGGTGAAGACCAGACAGGCAGATCCGAACGGAGGTGAAACTGCCTCTGAGTTTTGATATTTTTTCAAGTGTATAGTCATATAACAGTCGTTAAATTGAATTAATTTGACCTGAAAACCACTGCCTAAAACAATTGCTTGTTTGTTCCATGTTAGCTCCAGTGGAGACGGGCACAGACACTGTGTACAGCGAAGTGAGGAACTCCAAGCAAGGTATGACTAACATCCTGCTCTTCATTCAAATCCCACTTACAGGGTGAGAGAAATCAGGCCACTGGCTGACATTTGAAAAAAAGCGCCAGGAAACAGGATCAACTCATACTGTAAACATCTGTATTGTTAGTGAAAGAATGTCCCATTAAAACAGAAGGCCCAGTCGCCAGGTGTCCACTTCCTGCTTTCATCAAAAAGAACTTCCTGTTCCAACAATCAGAGCCAAACAGCGGGTACATCCGTTAAGACGAAGTGAGAAACATACTCCATTGTTTGATACTCCTGGGGGAAACTCTCACCCATTGTTCAGTCATTGGTTCCTAATAACTCCTAGCAGTTTGCACGTCATTATGTGTCACATAGTGATGCAGCAGAAGTGAAGAAGAACATGTGTCTGGTTTGTTTTTTTGCTCTATGTGCTCCTTGCACACAGGAAAAAACCTACTAGCAGAGACGTAATAGTGTGAATGTACGAAACATGATAAGCTGCCGGGAGTGGGGAGCTGTTCATTGGAGTGCTGATGAGTGTGCAAGCCTTCTTTTAATCCTCAGACTCCTTGTGTTTCCTGAGAATGTCCTCTGGCTTTGTTTTTGCAGGTGTTCCAGAGCAGGCTGATGGTGTAAGTAGCAGCCCACACATCACACACACTTCATGCATACAGTTGCAGGCACATATTACAAATAGGCGCACACACACACACACACACACACACACACACACATGAATCTGTTGTGTCTTCGCTCAGGGAGACCTCTCATGGACAGACACGGTAGAATGAATGGAAACCCTGTGGAGTCAGTTTTTATTATTTGCAGACAGGTAACTGAAAGTATTATATTCAAAGTAATGTAATTTCATGAATTCATTATAGTTTAATAATTATAATCTAATTATAGTCTAATAATTACCTGGGAAATACTCTGTAAAGAATCATGTCATTTTGCACTAATTATGTTCATGTATGTTATAGTGGATACATTCACACGCTCAGAATGAGTTGACATCATATTATCAATCATCTGTCACACTGAACGATACAGGCAACAGTGTCATGGAGTGATCTTGTAACCAGTATCTGTTTCAGTGATCCAGCCCAAATTAGAGCCCTTTTTTTCTTCACATGCGCCTCATGTTTCATTTTTTGTCCCCTCTCAGCAGGGGTCAGTAGAATACGCGCAGCTGAATCATGATACGGATCACCATGGCGACCATGGTGAGCACACCGACCACTCTGTCCAAGATGACCACATAGATGTGATTGACAACAGTGTTGACACCAACACTGCTGACCATGGGGAATGAAAACATGACCCAAAGCCAGACTGATAACTGACCAACAAGAATATTTATTCCCTTATTTATCCAGCTCCGTAATGCAGCTGGAGTCTTTTGTGCTGAAAGTCCTTAAACAGCCCTGAGCAATTACAGTATGTACTTTTGGTATTTTTGTAACACTCTGCAAAGAACACTCCACACTGTAAATTCACTTGCTTTGCCTTTGAAGAGCAAATAAAATGTTTTTGTTAAGTGTTTCTCTTTCCTTCGTTGGTAGTTTTCCTGCCAAGACACCGAAAAAAGAGGATGTGTGTGGTGACCCCAGAGGAAAAGACATTCAAATCTTTATCCTTCCACTCGTTGCAGAATCTAAATAGGAAGAGAAGTATTTGAAGTCAAGCATAGTAGTGATAATTACTTCATTAGTGATTAGGCTGGGAGTACATTCATCAGAGCCCTCTGCTCTGTGAGAACCAGTGCCTCTGTTTAAACCACTAGAGGACAGACTTCCGGCAGCGCTGCATGGAAACTTAGTGCCATCTGGCTGTGATCGCCTTTAATGTGAGAAGGGCTCTCACTGTGTTGTCACCGCATCAGAAGATATCAGTGTCATTTTCCATTATCTAAGGTTTGATTGCATGATATAACATGAACTTATTCAAGGTCTCCATAAACATAGGACTGATATGTTTAGCAGGTCTCTTAAGGCTATGGGCTATACACAAAGACACATAGCTGAACCCATGACATCAGAGGAGGACACAGTGTATTAATTAATCAACTGGTTTGAACCAAGACACAAGCTCACAGCATGATGAAACATCATAGCTCACATGTCTGAGTTATATGTTAAAGTGCATTAAATAGGACTGCAACATTTCATTTCATTGGACTAAACAGTTTTTCTGTGTTAGTTGATCATTTAGGCTATAAAATCTCAGAAAATAGTAAAAATAAAAAAATATATATATATAATATATGATAATGTTTATGCTTATGAACTTCTACTACTACTACTTCTACTCCTGTTCAGACTCTACTGAAAGGCTGATAAAAACCTCCCTGAAACGATGGCTGTGCAACTACATTAAAACATCAGAAATGTAAATCCTCATTATTTTTATTGATTTCCATGATTTCACTTCAGCTTACGGATTTTGTTTATATGTTTGTAAGGCTTCTTAAAATTCTCTGACTTCTTTCAGATTCCTGCATAAAGTCAAAGTGATTTTCTCAGTTCCTGAAAGCTTGACACTTTGAAGGAACAAGGTTTTCACCTGCCAGCAGGTGAACTGGGGACAAGCTGAGCAAATTATAAAGGGGCTGCACTACACCTTAATACAAGAGCATACATCGGGTTCATTCAGTTCATGGCAACTGCTGTCGACAGTGTGGATTATGAGGATCTGCTTTTTGACAGGAAGCGCTTAGGAACACAGAACAGCAGATCAAATCCTTGTGGGAATCTGTAACACCTGACACCAGAGCTAACACCAACAGCATGCCACCAACAACCATGCTTTCATCTCCATTCTTAGCACAGACAAACGTATAGACTGGCCCACATCTTCATTGTCTTTCTGCCTGCCATTTGTCCTTGTGTGCTTGTCTATGCGTGTGTGTCCTATGCCACTTCACAGAACAGTCTCATCTCTCCTCTTCCGCCACCTCTGAGCTTTTGTTCAATGCTGCAATTGTGCTAAGTCTTCATGAATGTGTGCACAGTATGTGACACCAGGGTGTGGTACAATATTTCCAGGGTTTGCACCATTCCCTCAGGCCCCCGAGCTCTCAAATGCAGAATGATACGTGTGCGTCTTGGCCTCTGTGAGGTCCTCAGAGGCAACTATGAATGGATATGGCTTCAGCTTTAAGGTGCCAAAATGAAAACTCACTCCTGCTCTGAGGATAGAACTGCATCTCAGCCGACACATGTATTATTAATCATATTACTTAACCAGGAGGTCAGCCTTGATGTAGGGAACAGCATATTTTGAGCAGCAGTGATCAGGCACGCAGGAGCTGATACTGTGTTACATGAATATCAGAGGTGTAAGTTTTACAGTATCGTTAGAAAGAGGCTATTTGGAAATAATTAAACATTGGGCAGAGAAAAGCATAGCCTGAAGTTGCATTGGTTTTATTTTTGGATGCATGCAACCAAAAGACAAAACCACTAAGTCATACAACAGAGTGTTTGCTGCAAAAGTGTGTGAAACTGGCAGAGAAGGTGTGAGTGCTTTGAGTAAATTCCTGTGGGTCATTTTAGACACTGCACACTTTGCCCAAGCATGGTGTCGTTCTGCCTTCAGATCATCACTGTCTGTCCGCCCTGTCACAGGGAAGATGGTGGATTTACTACTGTTCCCAAAGTTATGATGTGTGAGGTCATGTACCCTGCCAGACCTTTGGGATTCATATTACAAGGAGGCATGCATCACCACCCCCAGAGAGTAATGCTGTCACATGATCAATACTTATGGTGCCTGTAGTGTGGTAACTAAGGAAAGGGGCTTGGCTACATGCATATGGTAAGAGTGCTAGATCAGTCCTGCAGACCCAGTACAGTCCTCCATCCACTTTTTATTACTGCACGTACACTGTTCGTGTCTCCGCCACGTAACCTGATCCAACCCCATCTGTATCTGGAGCACAACTCCTGAACTGCCATTGGCTGCTTCGCTAAAATTAGCATATTGACCCCTGTGAAATGCATTCTGGGAATATCCTGTCTTTGACTTGGCCTTATGGGGCCAGTGCTGTTTGTGGTCTTCAGATGTAGCAATGAGGTCATCATGTAGACTCCATCTTTCTTCTTGCTGCAAAGGAACATTTATGTTATAGAGATGTTCTCAGTCAGGATGTTGTTATCCAAAATGTATGTGGTTATACTTTTGCACTTGTAATTATATTATTTTAAACAAGGTTTAAGGAGTTATTGGTAAGTTTTGTTATTGCTACATAGCCAACTTAACATTAACAGCCGTTTACTCACCAGTCTAGAAGAAAGGTTATGGGTTCAGCATCGAACTTCATACCTTTACCCGCCAAGAGCTGCCTCCAATGGTGGAAGCAATCCTCTTGTTTTGCTTCTACTTCTATCACTTCTTTTCTTCTAGTAAAGTTAGTATGCTAACCAGCTAGCCCAGCCCAGTCAGACCATTTTGTCACTTTCTGATACCGAGTCACTGTAGCCTCCAGTTTGCCCTGGAAAAGTAGCACTGCTCAGAGGGCGTATTATAACCTCTTATCTTTTAAACGCAACAATGGCTGAAGCTCTTGCACAGACTTTCTTCTTAATAAGCATGTAGACATCTGAAGAGAAAGCCAGGATCATTCTTCTGCGTCAGCAAATGTCAAAATTTGCAAGGACTGGAACTGATGTCAACTACAAACTAGAAGACACACACCTGCCCTCTTCTCTCAGAGTTCGACAAGTTTGATTGATTTATACTGAGGTATATTCAGTCAGGTTTCGGTGGAAAGAAATGTATGTATTTAATGTAAAAGACATCTTATGTGTATAACCCCTTATTGTTCTATATTTTTTCTCTAAATGGAAACTGAGTAAACCCTAAATACAGTTTTAAATTGCTGTTATTTATCATTGTAATGAGCTTGTCAGCTTTAGGGAGCAATAACTGCAAACAATAAAAATAGCCTCGTTCTTCTGTGAACTGAACTGATAAGGTTTTCAATATTATAGGAAGATTATGTTACTATGTGATCAGGAAAGAATTGCTAGGAGTAACTGCCATTAACTGTTAGAGTACTTCCATCTTTCCAGGTGCAGTTGCAGCATGAAAAGCCCCTGGTCCATGTGCTGCATGCCAAGATGGTGCCTCTGGTCAGGCAACTCCTCTCCAGGGTCATGAAGACTGAAACCACCCTTGTTGATGCTTGATGTTCAGAGCAGAGAAAGAGAGATTCTCCACAAATTAGTTCAAGTTCAACACCTTGGCTGAGGCCTTGTCAGATGCAATGAAATCTGAGGAGCTGGATGAAGGAGTACAAGTCTACCAGACTGACTCAGATGTAGGAGCATAGGCCAAGTGCTTTGAGGAGAATACTGCACGGAGTAACGATGACTGATGGAGTAGGGAGGGATGACATTCTCCTTCTTTGGTAAAGGCTCTTCTGTTATTGTTCACTCGCCCTCTTGTTGAATGATCGTTTAATATCATGGACGACATAACTGCGACGGATAGGGTCAGACTGTACATTGAGACACGTGAAGGCTTAACTATTATCAAATTCCACAGGAATGCAACGAGGAAAATGTGGAATGGAAATTATCCCTGGATTGAGGAGCTTGGACCTTGAGAAATACCAAAATCATCTGAAGAAGAAGGAGAACAATGACAAGCAAAAGGAAAGGCAACTGAGGGAAGCGGTGAAGGTCCTCTCAGCAGTAAGGGTAAGAAAAGTACAGAAGTACTTCTGCTCATGCCAAAGCTGCCTCCTCCTCCTCCTCCTCCTCCTCCTCCTCACCCTCCACTTTTGGAGCCAGATTCACTGCACCTGTAGCTAGCCCCCCCCCCAAAAAAAAAAAAAATCAAATGGGTATCAGCTGTAGCTAAGCTTCAGGTGTTTCACTGCCAAAAAGCAGTCTAGAGACTTTTGCACAAGATTTGCACTTATTGTTCTTTGATGCTGATGCTGTTAGTTTTATTTTTGTGTGTTTTTCTGTTAAGGGATAAGGGGTTTAAAACAAAAATATTGCTTTTTTTTGGTGTTATAATAAGATAAAGGAAAACTCAAAAGTTATGTTGATGGCTGATAATTTGTATGACCAATAACTGAGTCAAACCTTGCAATATATCAGTTTTATTTCATAGATCGAAAACGAAACGAAAAAGTATAATAGTTGTTCAGCTTCTTCTTCCCTCAAATATTTAAATAGTGAAGGTTAAAGCCTTTTTACAACTTGATGGCTGCATTGGAGAACAGCAGCAATTACTGCATGTAGGATTGTTTTCATATAGAATATCACCACAGTTTGACACAAAATGTCTTTGCATATGTTTTATGTGTAACCAAATTTACACCATTTTGCAGTTTGGCCAAACAGATTCAAATCAAGGACATAAACATACTATGTATTTTGTACATTAGATATTTTGTCTATCCAGATAACTCAAGTCAAGTTGTGCAGAAATAATTCTCGAATTTCCTAATAAGTGTAAACAGAGAAAAAAAGAACAAATTAGACAAATTAGTTGAGAAGTGTTCAGTTCATTTTTACTGATATT